AAGCAAAAAATATTTCCTGGGAAAGTAAATGCGAAGAACTCAACAAATATATAGGGTCAACAAGATCAAGAGAAGCATGGAAAACGGTAAAAAATCTGAGAACAAACAGAAAAGAAACGAGTAGAATAGATTTAATAGAAGAGAAATCTTGGATCGAACACTACTCACAACTTTTAACTGAAACAAGACCTCAATTCACGAACATCAGTACAACAACATATGAACTGGAATTTAGTGAAGACGATGAAATAACAGTACAGGAAGTCGAGAATGCCATACGAACTCTAAAAAATGGGAAGTCATGCGGACCACAAGGTATACCAAATGAATTATTAAAACATAGCCCACAAGTATTACGGGAATTACTGGCGTATGTCTTCACCTTATTCTATAATGGACACGACTTACCACCGGAGTGGACAAAAGCACATATTAACAACATATACAAAAAAGGAGATAGAAAGAATTGTTCAAACTATAGGGGGCTAAGTGTCATAAATTCACTCTCAAGACTGTATGGAAAAATAATAAAAAATAAAATTGAAAAAGAGATGACAGATGTAGAAGAACAGAATGGCTTTCGTGCAGGCAGATCCTGCATGGACAGTATATTCTCTCTAAAGCAAGTTATCGAAAAAAGATTAGCCCACAACCTTTCAACTCATATAGTCTTTATAGATCTGACAAAGGCATACGATAGTGTACCACTTTCAATGCTTTGGGTAGCAATGGAAAAACAAGGAATAAGCAAAAAAAATATACAAGCAGTACAACAGCTCTACAAAAATATGACGGCAAATATTAAAACTGGAAATAGATTAACTAGAGAAATTCCTATTAGTAAGGGCCTAAAGCAAGGCTGCTGTATAGCACCTACACTCTTCAAAATATATCTAAATGAGGCACTCTCACTGTGGAGAAGAAAGTGCTGCAATATGGGCATCCCAATCGGAGATGATAGATTGTACACGATACATTTCGCTGATGACCAAGCCATTCTAGCTGAAGACGAGAGTGATATAAGCTACATGCTTAGAAAACTGGAAGATGAGTACACCAAATGGGGCCTCACAATTAATATACAAAAAACTGAGTACTTAGTTGTAGGAGAACAACCAGAAAGCCTACAAATAGAAATGGGAACTATAAAACCAACAGACAATTTTAAGTACTTGGGAGTCCAAATAACATCAAAAGCAGAAAGTAGCGAAGAAATACATTCCAGGATTGGCCAAGCAAGATCAGCCACCAGACAGCTACACGGACTATTATGGAATAAAAAAATAACAAAAGAAAATAAAAGAAGAATTTATAAAACAATAATAGAAAGTATTGGACTGTATGGCGCCGAACTCTGGGAAATAAACCAAAGAAATATATCAAAAATTAAGGCCATGGAAATGAACTACTGGAGACGATGTTGCCAGCTCACTAGACTAGATAGGGTGAGAAACGAAGATATTCAGAGAGAAATGGAAATCGATCTTGACATAATAGACACAATCGAAGCCAAAAGACTTAACTGGTATGGACACCTTCAGAGAATGCCGGAAAATAGATGGCCAAAAAAAATAGAAGAATGGACTCCGCCAACTAGAAGAAAACGAGGTAGACCAAGACGATCCTGGAGAGACGATGTCGACGATGCAATGACCGCCAGAGATCTAACAACTGAAGATTGCTTCGACAGAAAACGCTGGAAATTAGGATGCGAGAAGCGGCGCCAGCTGTAGAAGACTCGCTTGTTATATTTATATAAATTTTCTGGCGGTTATATTAAATTGGTGCAGCATACGCTGTAAATCATCTTCACTTTGAGGGATTAGTATTGCGTCATCTGCATAGCAGATTATTTTAAGTTGTTTTTCTCCCATTTGGTACTCTTTTTTAGTTCTTACCTTTTTTTATTATTTCATCCATAATCAGGTTGAACAATAGAGGACTCAATTGAATCTCTATGTCTTACCCCGTTGCCAGCTTCAATAGGGTCTGTTAGTTCTTCTTCTAGTTTTACTTTTATTGTGTTGTTTTGGTAGATAGTTTTGATTATTCCTAGAGGTATCTCTCTTGCGTACAGTAAGTCGATAACCTCTTTTAATTTGACCCAGTCAAACGCCTTTGTAAGGTCCACGAAACATAGATGTGCCGGTTTGTTGTATTCTAATGATTTCTCTGGCATTTGCCTCATTATAAATATAGCGTCGGTACATGATCTTCCCGACCTAAAACCTTGTTGTTCTTCTGCTAGTGTTATCATTTCATTTAATTTATTTGTTATCACTGTGGTTGTTAATTTTATTGTTGTGTTTAATAAATTAATTACTCTGTAATTTTCCGGGACCGATTTGTCTCCCTTTTCGAAGGGAGGTATTAGAATGTTTGATCTCCATTCTTGGGGAATTTTGTTTTGTTCTATTATTTTTGGATGACTTTTGATAGTTGTTTGGTAAGATCTGGTCCTCCGTACTTCATGAGTTCGTTTGGTATTCTGTCCTCTCCTGGTGATTTTCTATTTTTTATTTCCTTAATGCTTTCTTTACCTCTTGCTCCTCAATATTTACTGGCAATCTGGTGTTGGTGGTTCATTATCGGCACCTTTAGCATATAGGGATCGAAAGTAGTCTCCCCATGTTTCCTTCTAAATGTGTTTCGTTTTTATTAGTTCGTTCATCTCTTTTCTTTGTCCTCTGATTGGTCCATTCTCCATATTTCTTTTTGTGTTCGATAGAAGTCGTGTTCCATCTGTTTTGAGAAACTCTGTCAGTGTTCCTTTTTTATTTATCTAATAAAGTACTCGTTTCATTTCTGATTCGTTTATAGTGGTTATATACCTGTTGTGTTTGTTGTTGTATTGTAAAAAGGCTTTCTTCTTTTCTTCACATTTTGTCTTCACTTCCTCTTTAAACGTTGGTGTTTTCCTTTTTGATATGTTAGTGTTCGTTACTTTCCAAGTGATTCTGTTGCTGCGTTAAGTAGGTATGTTATTTTTGAGTTTTTACCAGCTTTCCTCGATGTTATCGTTTTCTAATAAGGTAGGTGTAGGTAATATGGCCATCCAGCATATTTTTATGTTTAAACGGTAGAACTCTTGATATTAGCATAGTAATTCACATTTAGTGCCGAAATTGTTAAATAGATGGTGCCACATTCTCTATACGTCAGAACCATACACCATTGTTGTGAAAACTCGTCATTGCAGAAGCTGGTTATTAATTTAGTAATTTTAAAAAAAATCTTAACTGAATCTAATAGGTAAGTTTTTAATATATTAATTGTACTTACATGTTTCGTATACCTTCAAAATCATGTACATGTTATTATTTTATTGTATAAATTTTGATTTAATACATTTTTTCTTAGACAAAATATCAAAATACAGTGATGAGTAATATGGCCAGGTGAAAAGTAGGGTTATATGGTCATGGCCATATTTATCTTACGTGGCCATATTACTATACAATGCATATTTTGTTTGCTGTATTGATATTATTTCTTTTATTACGGAAATAAAAAATGCCCCAGTATCAGCGCAGGGGCCTACGAGGCAACTGGACGGAAGAAAATTTGTCAGCAGCTTTAAGAACGGTGTAAAATTGGACCGCAGTTAACACAGCTAGTCGTACATATCACATCCCAAGGCGGAGACTTCGACAATATTTAGAAGAGGGAAAACAAGTAAAGTCTTGTCTAGGGCGAAAGACTATACTTACAAATGCCCAAGAAGCAGAATTAGTTCAACGTATTATCCGTCTTTCGTGAATTGGATATCCACTTTATGCAAGGGTACTTTGTAAGTGTGTATATCGGTTTACAGAACTCAATATTATCCCAAATCCTTTTCAAGAAAGCAAAGGAATAGCTGGTCGTTATTGGCTACGTGGTTTTATGAAGCGCAATCCTCAAATCAGACCTAGGAAAGCACAAAACTTAAATCCGGCTAGGGCACAAAAGCTTAATAAATTTATTGTAAAAGATCATTTTACTAAGCTGGAAGGTATTTTAAGAGAAATGGACATACTTGATAAGCCAGAACGGATATATAATGTAGACGAGTAAGGTTGCAGGTTAACACTTCACCACCAGCAGAAAGTTTTGGCGCAAAAAGGGGTTAGAAGAGTACATGTTGTTGCAAACGAACTTTGAGAAAGTGTTACCATTGTTTCTTGTGGTAATGCTCTCAGTACAGCAATCCCTTCAATGGTACTTTTTAAGGGTAAACGTAGTAAGCCAGAATGGGTTGACTCACTACCTCCAGGTGCTATTGTTCAAATGACTGCAAAAGGTAGCATGAATATTGAAACGTTTTCAGTTTGGCTTCAACACTTTTCAAAATTTAAGGTTGCTGGTCCATGTATTATCATATTTGATGGTGCAAGATGCCATTTGGATCACACTATTGTAGAAACTGCCGAAAGATACGAAATTACTCTATACTGTTTACCTAGTAATACTACTCACGAGCTCCAACCAATGGACAAAGCTGTATTTAGACCCTTTGAATATTACTGGGATGATGAAGTTATGAAATATTCTATTCATAGCGGTCGTGTTATTACCAAACAGAGATTTGGGGCAATTTTTTCTACAGTTTGGGACAAAACAATGACACCATCTAATATAAAATAGGGGTTTTCTTCAACGAGAATTTATCCATTCAACCCAGAAGCTATCCCAGAGATAGCGTTTGCCCCTAGTACTATCACATACCAACATCAGGAAGATAAAGAGAATGTCACATTATCAGAAACTAACGCTTGTAATAAAGCAGATGATTTATCCATGCCATCAACTTCAGGCATTCAACAAAAATATCACCGTTGTCATTCTACTTTGGGATTACAACCGAAAAATAGCTCAAAAGAAGTATGTCTGGTCACTGATAGTAGTAACTCTTGTCGTCCCTCTACTTCGGATTTTCAACCGAAGAATCGCCCGGAAAAACCATTTCTAGACACTGATAGTAGCAACTCTGACCTATCCTTTAGTTTGAATGATTCTAGCAGTGATGAAGTTATTGATTCAGACGACGATCAGAGTGATTTCTCTAACATCCAAAATACTTTATTCACAATTATGCTCGAAACACCTGAAAATGCAGCAATAAAGAACGATAACAAAAAGCCTAGAAAACCAGCTATCAACAGTCGAGCCCAAGTTTTTACTAAAGATTTATTCGGTAGATGTATTGGAAAAAGTGATTTAGAAAATATTAAAGCCAATACGCATACTACAGATGGTAAAAGAGTCTCGTCAATGCTACGAAAATTACCCAATCCAAAAAACAAATTTAAGACCTTGCCTGCTAAGAAAAAGGGAACAAAAAAGCAAGAATCTTGGTTTTGCAAATTATGCAAGGAAGACAGAATGGTAGATATGAGACTGTGTAGCGTATGTAGCACTTATATCCACGAAGAGTGCATGGGTCTCACAGCTAAAGACAAAATTGATTCGTTCTTATACCCTGATTGTGAAAAATAAGACAATATTAAGTTTTTGTACTGTATTTGCTCAACATGTAATAAAACTGTTAAAAAATCTGAAACTATTTTATTCTATTTTATGTTAAGCTTCATAATTAGACATAAAAATTTACTTTCTGTAGAGTGGCCATATTAGCGACACCATGTTGGTAATATGGCCAATAGCAGTATTTTTTTAATTAAGTCATAAATATCATATTTTTATCAATTTTTGAAAAATTATACAATAAATATATATTTAGATAACCCATGTAACTGTAATAACAATTATTAAAAAAGTTTACAAAAGTTCTTAAGGTGGCCATATTACCTGCACATACCTTATTTCATTCCCAGCGATCTTTGATATTTTTTTTCCTGTATAAGTATTCCGTGGATTTCGTATTTAGTCTTTCGACTTTAATTTTTTTTTGTGTTGGCGCCCCTCTTTTGGGTGGGAAGTATTTCAGGATTATTCTTATTTTACATAATACTAGGCTGTGGTCGCTGAGTTGAGGCATCTTACGTCGATTATTTTTGGTGGATGTTTATGTCTGTAGGTTATAACATAATCTATCATAGATCTTTGTCCACGAGTGTTATTAAATGTATATTGGTGTTGGTCTTTGTGGTCAAAAAATGTGTTGTTTATTTCTCGTTCGTTATTAGTGCCGAAGTTGATCATTAGTTCCCCATTTTTGTTCTTAACATTCTTGTTATGTTTTTGTTTAATGCCGAGTATTACTTGAGTGCCTATTCGAGCGTTAAAATACTCCAATATTATTATCAATAACAAAACTTAAACGTATTAATACAAACGTTAAGTATTAAAATTAAATGACCAATCCCCACAAAAATATTTCAGATTTCTTTGAAAACACCATGTGCAAAGGCATGTTAGATCTTAAACTAGTATTTATATTATTCTTGTGCAAGCTATAATGTAATCCCAAAAATAATATCACCAGAGAAGAAGTACATTATATATTACCAGCCCCAAAGAGGAGAAGAAAAAGTGAATATGAATATAATTAGAATTAAACTCATGAAAGTATTTACCTGCAAATCTCGAAGATGTTAGTCGCAAATTCTGCCATTGTTCAGATCCTGTAGAAGAAATGAAACTATAAGCTTAAAATAGAAAGCAAATTTATACATAAATATAGTTAATACTCGCAGGAATGGAGGTTTATTCGAAGGGGTATTAGGAGTAACAAACTGTTATAAAATAAAGATAATGTAAATATTTTGAACAATCTAGAACAATATATTTTAGACTTTAGGAAAAACCTATTGCAAGACGAACATCTTTAATTGCATTATTTTTTATATGTTTTTATAACTTCCGTTAACATTACTTTATTTCAACAAATTGTTAATAATATACCACGCTGCTTATAGAATATAGGGTTAGACTTAGATCTAGCCATTTGGCTACTATACTAGTTTTTGGAAATGTATGATAGCATAGATTCATGACGGAAGAATATATAATGCAAATGAGCAACTTTTAATAAGCCAGAATTGCACGCTTCAGTGAGGGAGTTTTCTTTATCGTAGAACAATAAAGAAATGTCAAAACGAACAAATGTTTATTACATACCTATACCGCGTATCAGGTTTTTAGTTCAGTATATGCTCTTATGGACTATTATACCTCTTACTATCTGAGGAGGTCACATGAAAACAGCCTTAAGTCACACAAAAATCAAAGGAGGCTAAGATGTGACAATGCATTGTTCTGTTGTAGCCAAAATGGTTTATTTTATCTGATTTATAAAAAAATATTTCCAATGGTAAAAATATGTTAAAAACTACCTTTACATGCAAAACAACTTATTTCTACCAACCAACCAATAGGAGCTCTGCAACTGCCACTTAGCTGACTCAGTGTGTATTGCAAATTTGAGGTTATGTGAGGGTTTATTGTCAAAGTATTTAAAAACAAATAGTAATTACTTTATTATTTAAAAGATAAGGGATCGGGTTGATGAAAGTATAAGTGTTGGTGAAGGAAATGAAGGGAATAGACGGAGAACAGTTACAGGAAAAAAAGGGAAAAGAGAACAAATTACTAGGTATGTTACTCCTAAAAGAGCCCTATTTTTGTATCCTTTAAGCACAACAATACACGTTTCAAGTGCGTAAAAATAAGGCCTTACATAAAATAAGAATTTACATCAAAGCTTTCAAAGAAGAGTTTTATAAGGTTCTAGACACGAAAAAACAAGATAACGTTATTGCCATTCTGATTCATATAACTCAAATTAAAAGACTAAGTGGCAGTTGTAGGTCGGTAAACAAAAACAAAAAGAAAAAACCTGGACCTGAGCGAAAGTACTCAATACAATACCAACTGTCTCTGGTGTTTAAACTGTATATTTACAGTTTTTCACACTGTAATTGGTATTGGAGAAACTACAATAAAAACGTAGCCCAAAAAGTGCATTTTGTGTTTGTTGTTAAAGGTAAAAGCGGAGGTGACTTTACCAAAAATAAGAACTACCTGAAGAAGGAAAATGTTAAAAGTATATAAGAAAGCTCAGAGGAACTGAATTACATTACAAAAGATAGAAGTCCAAAAAGTATTAGTAAACGAAGTAAAAAATTAACATAGGTTTTAAGGCATCTGCCTCCGATACTTGCAGTACATGCTGCCTTCTCAAAAAATAAATTAAAATTTCACCAGCACCGTCTGCTGAAAACCCGCAGCTAATGGTTGAAAAGCGGATTTATCAGCAAGAGCAAACGCGTTTTATATATACATCGAAATTGATGTTTCTCATTCTGTTAGGCTTTGCTTTGATCTTCAACAAATTCAGTAATAACGGAAAAATCAAATTCAAGAAGTTTATTACGCGAGACAAATTTGGTTTTATAACGTTTGTATTACTGATATAAAAACTCAAAACCACATGTTCTACACTTGGACAGAGAAGCAGACAAGAACAGATAGTGTGGAAATATCATCGGCTCTCTTTAACTATTTGAAAGAAGCTAATTTTAAGTTCTGTTCCATACTAAGTTTATTTAGCGATGGTTATGTTTCTCAAAATAAAAATAATATTATCCTGAGAACACTGATTCATTTTTTGATTGTAATTGATTTTATTGTAATTCGCTGTATGGGGACATAGATTTTTACCCGCTGACCGTGTTTTTAGAAAAGCAAAAAGCAGTTGCGAAAAGACCCATAATTTTAATTAACAGGAATACCATGACATCTACAGTGGTACAGGTAAGGTACGAGCACTACTTGATATCAAGAAGTTAAGTGAATAACAAAAAGGACGTCCAATCAACAAGTGAAATAAAAAGAATTGAAATCTGCTACCGGACACAAGAAGAAATTAAACACCTCTGAAAAAAGGAAAAAGGAAAGTCTTACAAAAATATTGTGTTGGTAAGAGGCTTGAAAAACTACAAGTACGAAGGAAAAGAGTCTTTTATATCTTTGAGGAAGAAAGGAAAAACAATCTTAAACAAGTGAGACTGGAAGAACTCCCACTTCATCATATGTTAACCCAAAAAAAGACAAAGATGTTCACAAACTTTCGAAAAAAATGTTTTTACATGGAAAGGTCTTATTGCCAAAACAAAATCAATTTTTTAAATTATTTTTTAGCTACCCTAACTGAAATAAGTATTTTAATCTCATGTTTGGAACCAATAATATTGCCATCGTCAGTTTCAGCTCAGTGTTGGCGAAACGTCGAGAACTAATCTCAGAAGACAACGGCCTAACAACCCGAACAAACTCTCTAACCAGTAGCGCACCTAGAATTGTCCTCTGGGGGAGGGGGGTTTGGTTGGGCACCGAAATTTTTTTATGCTACCTCCACCATTTTAAGTCCTTAAAATTTGTACATAACAGTGTCGGAATAGGGTTCTGGGGGCGGGGTGGGGGGGTTTGACCCCCAAAACCCCCCTGGGTGCGCCAGTGTGTCTAACAATGATATATCTCTTTTTATTTTTGTTAATTATCAGAACTAGTGCTATTAGTATCGCATACAGTTCAGCAGAGAACGTTGTTGTATATGAAGGTAATTTGTAAGCTTCTGTATAATCTGATCAGTAGATTGCTGCCTCAGTTTCGTTTTCGTTTTTGGATGCATCGGTGTAAACTTTAAAACAGCTACCATATTTACTTAATATGTTAAGAAATTCTTGATTAATTTGACTTGCTGGCGCTTCTGATTTGTTTAGGCGCAATAAGCTGGTGTCAGTAGAGGGAAGTCGAATTGTCCAAAGAGAAGGGGTTTGAATTGAGGAGATATCGTAGGTGTCTGGAAATTGGATACCTATTTTTAACATGTAGGTATGTAGGCGGTAATAGAAAGGATGATCAGTTTCATTTGAAGTTTGGAAACAACTTTTGAAGCGATCAGCGAATACGTAGATATTGTCTTTTAAAGGCGAGTAGAATCTCTCCAGTTTGAGTCGACTTCGAGCGTTCAACGAAGCAACACCTAATTACCTTAATCGCACCTAGTTTTTTAATCGCACCTAGTTTTTGTGGTTTTGTTTAAAAACATTGAAAGCTAAAAGTGTAATAAAGTGTAAATTATCAACAAATAATTATTTATTGTTGATACTGTTGACATTAACTGTAAGTAATTTAATTTATCTAATTACATCGAGTTATTATCAATGATTTCGTATTGGTGCCAGGACCGTACTCAGGTTCCGTAGATCAACATGAAACAAGCTTCATCATCAAATGTTTTTTCACAACAAGAAATCCTCAAAAATGATACTACTGCACCAAAGTTATATT